ACGTTCCAGGAGTCGCCTGGCTCTCAGCCTTAGTTTGATCAACCGATAGTCGCCTGGCTCTCAGCCTTAGTTTGATCAACCGATAGGGCCGACCGGGGGGAAGGGCGGCGTCCACCAGACTCTTGCGCCTTCAGCTCGTCAGTTCGTCAGGCGGAGGACAATAAGAGGACGAGATTCCCACGGGCCCATTTCATGAACAGCTTCCAGCGTCGGCGAGAGGAAGCCAGGGCGAGGACAAACTCGGATGAGGACAAATTAAGAATATCTGAGATCCGGCGACTCTGGAGGATGTATCGGGCGCCGTGTTTTTCTCATAGCGTTCTGGAACGCCCTGAGAGCGTTCCCGAACGCTCTGGAACGAATTTATCATCGTCCTAGCCCGGCCCGAGTCGGCAGGGCAGGTTTCTGGAACATCCCTGATTTCCCGACGTGGATTTGTTCAAGGCGCCGACTCCCAGAGGTTGAGGCCGCTTCCCCGAGACCAGGTATTTCTGCCGGATCGTTTTATTACTGCCCTGGAGCCCCCAGAGTCCGAAAACAGCCGCAGACCGTCCGTCATCATCTGTGTAAGTGGACCGAAAGGTATGGCTTTCATGTCATCACGCGGGTCTTTTGTAGCCGTTCGGGACGATCCGGGCCACCCCAGAACGTCCTCGGCGAGGCACAGTTGCTGGAAAGCATCCCGAGGCGGGACAGGCTACGGAAACGCACGGGAACGCCCCAAAATTTTCGAAGCGCGTCTTGGCTTTCCTCCTTCTCCTCCTCCTCCTCCTCCTCCTCCTCCTCCTCCTCCTCCTCCTCCTCCTCCTCCTCCTCCTCCTCCGCCCCCACCCCCGAGCCCGTCCTGGGATCCGATCCCCGATCCCTTCTTTTCCCGCCCGCCGCCAGATGGGCGCGGGCCCGATGCAGCAGCAGCACTCGGCGATGGGAGGCATGGCCCCGATGGGCATGGGCCAGGCGCGGCGGGGGCGACGCCGCGGGTCGAGATCTTCCTCCCATCTCTCCTCTATCCCGTCTCCATCCTAATCCGCCTGGCATCCCCCCGCGCTTCCTTCCTCATCCTCCCTCCTCAATCCTCTTCCTACATCATCATCCCTCTTACATTCTCTCACCCCTCCTACCATCATCATCCGCATCATCATCATCATCATCATCATCATCATCATCATCATCATCATCATCATCATCATCATCATCATCATCATCAGCATCATCAGCATCATCATCATCATCATCATCATCATCAGCAGCATCAGCATCAGCATCAGCAGCATCATCATCATCATCATCATCATCATCATCATCATCAGCAGCATCAGCATCAGCATCAGCATCAGCATCAGCATCAGCAACATCATCATCAGCATCATCATCAGCAGCATCATCATCATCATCGTCATCGTCATCGTCATAAGCATCATCATCATCATAATCATCATCATCACCCTCATCATCATCATCATGCTCATCATCATAATCAGCAGCATCATCATCATCCTCATCATCATCATCATCATCAACAGCATGATCAGCATCATATGTATCATCATCATCAACAGCATCACCATCATCGTCAGCATCATGTTCAGCATCATAATCAGCATCCGTATCATCATCAGCATCATCGTCATCATCGTCATCGTCACCATCATCATAAGCATCATCATCGCCAGCAGCATCATCTTCAACACCATCGTCATTGTCGCCATCATCATCATCAGCATCATCATCATCATCATCGGCATCATCATCATCGTCAGCAGCATATGTTTCAGCAGCATCATCATCAGCAGCATCAGTATCATCATCACCATGTATCGTCATCGCCATCGTCATCATCACCAGCTCAGCAGTAGCTGCATCAGCATCCGCATCCTCGTCCTCTCTCCTCCTAATCCCTCCTGACCTGCTTCGCCTCGCGGCGCGCGCTTGCCCTGCATGCCGCTGGGCTGCTGCGTTCGGCCTGTGCGGCGATGGGTGGTGTGCGCTGCACCGCCAGTACACCTTAGGCGATGCTTAATAAGTCTAACATTTTAGGCCAGAGTCTCGATTAGTCTTAATGTTTCAATGTAAATCCTAAGACTTTAATGGAAATGTTGGGTTTTTATTCAAGTTCTGAGACTATGAATTTCTTAACCCATGATTTCTTAAGCATTTCGAAGGGTGTAGTGGCCATGCTGTCGATCTCGATGCCGTTGCGGCCAGCGCCGCCGACTCTGAGTGCGGGACTCCCGCTGGCGACCCCCCACCAGGATCCCCCCGAGGGAGCGGCATTCTGCCTCGAGTACCCCCCCCTCTGTCCCACCCCGCGGCGGGGAAGGGGTCACGGGAAGGGGCTTTCCTTCGACTGCCACGGTCCCGCTCCTTGCTCCTCAATGTTCTTGGGGCTGACGGCGGCGACGGCGTCTTCCTCGCGCCGAAGGGTGGGCGAATGCATGTCTGAGTTCGCACACAATGAACACCCCGCCCCACCCCCCAAGTGCTGCAAGTTGCGAGGCTC